ACTCTCATGCGCCGGTCTGGGTTCAGATCAGTTCTGTTCTCTGGTCTCCCAAGGCCCTTGATTTATGGGGTCCCCGCGGACGGAACCTTTCCCCCCGTCAGCGGGTCTCCACTGAATCAGCGGCAGGAGTCCTGGATGATCCCCCGGTCGCGCGGCCCCTCCCCCACTCCTTCCCGACCCACGCCGCAGCGATCGCAGACTCTAGGGGAGGGAGCGATGTTCTCTCCTACCATTCCAGCGCCTCCGAAGGTGTAAGCAAGGTTTATGATCTCCGCCTTCTTGGTATTGTAGGTCTCTAACGAGCTGGCATTATGTTTATTCTCTGAAATTCAGTTCTTCCAATCTTTTGTTGTATTTTGGAGGGGAGAGAATCCCGGGTCAGCTCACCCCGCCATTTTGCTCCGCCCACCATCCCTTTCCCACTTTTAAATATCATTGTCTAGAGTACCAGAAGGTATTCTAACTTTTGCTCCAGTCATCACATGTCATTTAAAACACTTGTGGGTAGAAGAACAGCCTATTGTATACACTCATATTTGTGTTCTTTTCACTGTTTTTTCCCCCTTCCTGATGCTCCAGTATTCTTTATCATTTCTTCCATTTGAAGAACTTCCTTTACATAAGGGTAGGTCAGCTAGCAACAAATCCTTTTGGCTTTCCTTCACTTGAGAATGTGTTCACTGTGCCTTCATTTCTGAAGGATAGCTTTGCCAGATATTCATTCTGCAGTTGATGATCTTTTCTGTCAGCACTTGAAGAAAACGTGTTACCTCCTTGTGATCTCCAGTTTCATATAAGGAATCTACTGTCATTTGAATTGGTGTCCTCCTATAGGTAATGACTCATTTCTCTCTGGCTGCTTTCAAGATTTTTTTCTTAGTTTTAGTTTTTAGAATTTTAATTATGATGGCTTAGTGTGGATTTCTTAGGGTTTATTTTGTTTAGTATTCGTTTGGCTTCTTGAATCTGCACATTTATGTCCCTTGCCAAATATGGAAAGTTTTCAGCCATTATTTCTTCAAATACTTTTTCAGTCCTACTTCTTTTCTCTTTCTGGGACTCTGATGAAACAAATGTTAGCTTTTTTGTTCTTGTCCCAGAGATTCTTGTTGTTTTTTTTTCTCAGTCTATTTTCTCTCTGTTTAGATTTGCTAAATTCTATTAATCTGTCCTCAAATTCTCTGATTCCATTTTCTGTCATATCAACTCTACCATTGAGCCCATGCAGTGAGTTTTTAAATTTCTTAATTCTATAATTTCCACTTGATTTTTGATATAACTTCTATTTTTTGCTGAGATTTTATACTTTTTCATTTGTTTCAAGAGAACTTGTAATTGTTTCAAGCACTTTTTTAATGATGGCTGCTTTAATGTCCCTGTCAGATAATTCCAATGTCATATTCATCTCAGTGCTGGTGTCAGGTGATTGTCTTTTTCTCATTTAAGTTGTGTTTCCTGGTACTTGGTATGACAGGTAATTGTTTATCGTATCCCACACATTTAGATCTTATGTTGAGAGACTCAGGATCCTATTTAAATATTTCATTTTAGCAGGCTGTCACCCTGTCTTTAGGTTAGCTCCCAGATCCTAGCCTACTTTGGTGGGCTGTGTTTGTTCCAATGACAATGTAATTTTCAGAGCTCTTGCGATGCTATTTAGGTCTGCTTGGCTTATTTTATACCACTATTGCTCTCACTTTTCCTTGCTGGTGTTGGAGAATGTGAAGGAGCTTCCCTAAAGCAGGATGCTTGGTGTCTCCAGGCAGGGGAAATGATGCTCTGGTCCAAAAGAGAACAAAAAGCTTCACAGGTCGAGCTGCTGAGGTGTCAAGATCCCCACCTCCAGTGCCTCCTGGCCACGTGGCATCTGTCAGTAAGGGCGGGGAGTCTCTTCCTGGGCTGGGCAGTTTAGGGGGGATGCCCTTGCTGGCATCACCTGGCTGCTAGGTACCTTCCTTCTAGGTGGAGAGTCTCAGGTCTATGGAGATAAAGAGCATTTCCTGGGACAGGTATTCCTGTGGCAGGATCCTCCTGGCTGGTGTCGCCAAACTGCCCGGTATCTCTAGGTGAGGAGAGGGGAGACAGCCCTGTGAGAAAAGAAAGCACTTCCCCCCACCACTGTTAGCAGGGGCCCTAACTGATCCCAGCTGCTGGCATTGCTGAGCTCACCTGGTGTTGTCAGCAGGAGTTCCCTGCCATCCAGGGAGGAATGAACCCACCTGGGCTGTCTTTTGCTAATTTGGGAGCTGGGAAATGCTGGGTCACTTTCTTCTGTCGGGTAGGGGCATGTAAGAAGCACCATCATCACTATGTTGTTCCCCTATTCCCAAGGTCCATTCTCCAGGAGATAGATCTAATTCCATTTCCTTGGAATATGGGGTGGACTTTAAGATTACTTCTAACAAATAGTGTATGGGGGGCCAGCTCCATGGCCAAGTGGTTAAGTTTGCGCACTCCGCTGCGGCGGCCCAGGGTTCGGATCCTGGGCGCGGACATGGCACTGCTTGTCAGGCCACGTTGAGGCAGCATCCCACATCCCCCAACTAGAAGGATCTGCAACTAAGATATACAACTGTGTACGGGGCTGGGGGGGGGGGGGTTGGGGAGATAAAGCAGAAAAAAAAATAGTGTATGGAAAGAGAAAAATGGTATGTTTACAGTGGAGAATCCTGACAGGCACCACCTTTACCAAATGATCAAGGTTAACATCACCAGGAATAAGTCACATTGGTATCATGTACCCTTTGATATGATACAATAAGGACAGTTCACTTCTGTGGTATTCTTCCCAAAAGTCCATAATGCAAGTCTAATAATGAGAAAACATCAGACAGTTCCCAAATTAGGGATATTCTATAAAATATCTGAAGAATGAAATACATTCTATAAAATACTTGAAGGCCAGCTCTCTTCAAGGGTCAAGGTCATGAAAGAGAAAGAAAAACTGAGACAGTGTCACAGATTAGAGGAGACTATAAAGAGACAGGCTGACTAAATGCAATGTGGGATCCTAAATTGGATCCTAGATCCGAAAACGGACAAGAGTGGAAAACCCAAACACAGCCTGTAGTGCTTAATAGTGTTCTTTCAATGTTAATTTCTTAGCTTTGATAAATGTACGATGATTACATAAGATGTTAATATTAGGAGGAAAAATGAAGTTACTAGTTGGCCCTTGGCATTCTAGTGTAAGCAACAGACTTCATATATTTATGTATTTATTATTGTTATAGACGCATAAGTTTCTCTCTTTTTTCCCCCAATGGTTTATAAGTCATTAGTGTACTCAGTTTGGTGCTCAAATTGTCTCAGACTTGGCCGGTAGGTGAGAAACCCTTCAAACTGGCTGTGTCCTAGAGTCATGCTCCACCATGTTTTTTAACACTTCCGTACTTTCTGGCATTACAAGATATTCTGGGATCACCTCATACCTACCCTGCCCTAACCCTGGCAGTGGCCATTAATCCAAGAAGCTATGGTTCCCACAAATGGAAAATGGCGCTAGAGACTAAAATCTGGACACTAGATATACTCACTGCTACTGGAGTATCCTTGCTTCTTGGTCTTTTCAGCAGACAAAGGTAGAAAACATATATGTATCAACACATACACACAAATACATATGCACATGCACACAAATATGCATGTGCACATAAACATGTACAGACACACACATACAAATCTTAGGAATCTTAAGTTCACACCAATACTTCTGATTCCAGCCCATGCTCACAGAATTCTTCCTTGCTTTGTCCCATTCCACAATCGTATGACTTTCCTTCCACAGTGAGAACCTTGGCTCCCAACAACAAAGACACATGTACTCATGTACTCAATCCTATAATGCATCAAAAATAGTTTCAGAATTGCTTCATCATATTGCTGCAAGAAAAAACCTTTGAGAGTTTAGGATTTGTTTGTACTTCTAACACACACACATAAAAATAAACTCTGCCAAGACTGAGGATATATAATCAAACACTACATTCATTATTATCGCCAAATTCTCAATAAGGCTTATACCATTCTGCATTCCCACTGACATAGTATTAAAGTGCCTGTTCCCCCACAGCCTCAACAATACTGAGGACTGTCACACTTTCGAATTTTTGCCTAGCTGATGGGTGAGAAATGGTACCTCACTATAGTTGTAACCTGTAGTTCTCTTATCATGACTGAAGTTTAACATCTTATTTGTGTATACTTCTTTTGGTAAACTGATCATGTGTTTTGTCCACTTTTCTATAGGATTTCTGGTCTTTTCTCTTTGATCTTTAAAAGTTCTTATAAAATGAGGATATTAACCCTTTATCTGTGAAATACGTTGATTTATATGTTGACACACTTTTCTTCTAGTCATTTGTCTTTTGATATTACTTATGGTATTTTTTGCCATGCAAAAGTTTTTAAACTTTTGTTTACTCAATCTTATGAATCTTCTATTGCCTCTAGACTTTAAGCCAGCAAAGCCTCTAAGCCTTGGGAAAATGACCTTGTAGTGGCCATTCATTGACCAAGGCAAGGGGACACGGACAGTCTTGGACAGGACATTTGTTAGGCTCTAGGACATTTGTGCTCTGGGGATTAGAAAGAGCAAAGGGCAATGGCTAAAGGGACAGCGCCTTGGCCTGGTTGTAAAGGCAGGTGCTCCAGATCCTGAGCCCCTGACTGGAGGACTGGGGAGGGTTGTGGTTGAAGGCCCTGAGTCCTCAGGTTGGATCGCTGGCAAGTATGCAGAGCTAAAGGGAGAGGCCCAGGGCTGCAGGCATGAGTACTAACAGGTACCCCTCAATCTGCTGTTGGGGTAGCTGAGTGTGTGGCTTGGGGATATCACATGGCTGTTGGAGGACTTAAGAAGGGCTAAGAATGAAGACTATTATAATCTCGTTCTCCCCTCAGACAGGACCAGTGTCCAGAACAAAACACAGTGACTCTCCCATGGTTCCCAAGAAGCTGAATACCTTGGGGTTTTTGATAGATGAGTGAATGAGCAACATAGCTATGTGTGCAACTTTGTAAAGAAGCAGTTTATTAAAACAAAAGACCATAAAACACAGAGAGGACTGCTGCTTAGAAAGTAAACCATAAACAGACTATCTCATGAACACTGAAAGAAAGCACCATTTTTTCCCTCCATTCCATTTCGGGAAAGCAGAACACTTCCCAGTGATTTCTGCCATATTCACACTCAAGGGGAAAGGAAAGGTCAGGAGAACAGCTCTTGCGGCAGGAGGTGATGGCCAGACTTGGTCTTCCTATGTCTATGGAGGTGAGACTTCTGGCTAAAGCCACGACCACACTCCCTGCACACGTACGGCTTCTCTCCCGAATGGGTCCGCTGGTGTCTGATGAGAGCTGACTTGAAGCCAAAGCCACGCCCACACACACCACACACACACGGCTTCTCCTCAGAGTGTGTCCTCTGGTCAGAGGTGAGGTTGGACTTCTGGCCCAGTCCTTGCTCACACATTCCGTACACATCAGCCACCTCCCCTGAGTGTGTCCTCTGGTGTCTAGTGAGGAGTGACTTGAAGCCAAAGGTGCGCCCACACTCAGGGCACAGGTACGGCTTCTCCCCTGTGTGTGTCCTCTGGTGCCTGATGAGCGTGACCTTCTGACCAAAGCCACGCCCACACTCGGGGCACACGTAAGGCTTCTCTCCTGTGTGCGTCCTCTGGTGTCCCATGAGGGAGACCTTCTGGCTAAAGCCACGCCCACACTCAGGGCACAGGTAAGGCTTCTCTCCGGTGTGCGTCCTCTGGTGTCTGATGAGGGTGACCTTTTGGCGAAAGCCATGCCCACAGTCGGCACAGACATAAGGCTTCTCCCCTGAGTGTGTGACCTGGTGACTGAGGAGCAGCGACTGCTGCCTGAAACCACGACCACACTCAAGGCACAGGAAGGGCCTCTCGCCCGAATGCGAGCTCCGGTGTTGGAGGAGCGATGCCTTCTGGCAGAAGCCTCTCCCACACTCAGGACATATGAAGGGCTTCTCCTCCAAGTGTGTCCTCCGGTGCAGGATGAGGGCAATCTTTTGACGAAAGCCTCGCCCACACTCCTGACAGACAAAGGGTCTCTCCCCGGAGTGTATCCTCCTGTGGTTCGTGAGTGAGGACGTGTACCTGAAGCGTCGCCCACACTCCCTGCACATGTAAGGCTTCTCCCCGGAGTGCTTCCTCTGGTGGATGGTGAGGGAGGACTTCCGGCCAAAGCCTCGCCCACACTCTATACAACTATAAGGCTTCTCCCCGGAGTGCGTCCTCTGGTGCTTGACGAGGTCTGACCTCTGGCAGAAGCCTCTGCCACATTCGGGGCACACATGATGCTTCTGGAGACCAAAGAGGCTTGACTTTGTGCTATGTCCTGGTCTGTATTTTCCACAGATGACTGCTCCAGATTCCGAGATGTCTGTCCCCGTGAACGTGGCGTCTGCCTCCTGAGGGCTCATCCCCTGGGTCGGGTCGTGATCTATTACTCCACCTCTGTTGCCGTCCACCCAGTCTACTGGCTGACCTTGAGATGGGCTGAAGAATGCCCTCGAAGTCCCGCTGAGCTGCAGACTCCCGAACATGGTGCCAGAGCCTTCTGTCTCTCCATCTTCTGCTTTTCCACTGGAGCAGCGAGGAGCTTGTAGTGGCAAGTGGCTTCCTGCAGATGAGCTTGGGAAGACCTGCGGGGGGTGACCGCACAGCACATATCGTGTGAGGAAGTGCGGACTGGAAAAGGCCACCGGGCAGGAGAGACAGGGCCGGAATTCTGCCTCTGGTTCTGCTGGAGAGAAAGTCTTGGTCAGAGTCAGCACAGGTACCTTGTGGACGGTAACACTCGCCCAGCAGTCATTCCTCAGATGTTCACACAACAAAGACTTCCTTTCCAGACCTACCTTCAGCCCACGGTGACACATTAACGCACCTCCTGTTGCCACACAGAAAACCCACATGGCAAGCTGCCTCTAAATATCAGCCCAACTAAAACATCTTCAAGAAAGCATCCCAGGCAACTCCAGCCCTATGAACTGCTGCCGTTGGAGCTACACGTTTCCCCCCGTTCACCAGCCAGTCATTAACACTGAGGTAAACAATATCCACAAATCCATGCTTCACTGAAAGTTAAACTAGATGACTTATTACACATTTCTTTTAGTGACTTTTCCTACAGAAAGGATGGGGTCACTACAGGGAGTCACTCAACCCAGAGGCGCCACGGGCGAGGCATATAAAGGAGAGGTCCAAGACCCACGCAGGAAATGAAGCGCTGTGTCCTCCATCCTAAACAAGGATCTCGAGAGGACCGTGTGCTGGGCTCTCTGTCAGGAAGTGGGGCCTCCGCAGTGAAACACAGAGACACGGTCTAGGCCTGCAAGCCTTTAAAGGGTTCTGATGATCTCAGTCAATCTCCGATCTGCTTTTCTCAGTTTTCTACAAATTGTTGTAAAAGGAAAAATTTCCATCTACCACCTTGCCTAGGAGATGTCAAATTTGCACGCCCTGCCCCATTACACAAGTTCTATCCACCTGAAGCTGAAGAAAAACATCATGAACCTTAAACAAACTCCACATACCATGCCTTTCCAGACCTACCTGACTCTTTCTTTGCCAACCAAAAATGAGACGTATTTTATGAACCATATACAACAGGGCTCAGCAAACTGCAGCCCACCAGGCGTTTTGTAATAAAGGTCTGTGGACCACAGCCACACTCATTCTTTGGGCAGTTTCTATGGCAGCTTTCACAGACAACAGCAAAGCTGAGCAGTTGAGGCAAAGGGCATAAAGGCCACAGAGCCTAAAATACCTACTGTCTGGCCCTTGACAGAAAATGTTTCCCAAAACCTGATCGACAGCACTGACTCAGTCCATCTGTCTGAGATGCCAGCTTTCAGTACTGATAGTAACCACCATGAAACCCCCTTCCTTTCCTCCTCAGCAAACTACCCCATGAACTTAGTTCTGTGTGTGTGCATGTTGATAGACCTAGAGCCTCCTGTGAAATGGTCTTGGGAATCACTCACAAGTGCTGACCCCACTGGACTTCCAGATGTGAAAGTGGACATCCTTTCAGTCTTGGTACACAGTTCGGGCCATCGGGGGTCCCACCATGGCTGACCTTTCATCACAAATATGCTCTAGTTCAGCTCACTGAGCCGTCCACATGTTTATCTTATTAAGCTGGGCTGTCCACAGTATGGAAGCTCACGGCAGGTGTGTACATTTCTGGCCAGCAGTTTCCAGTAAATGCTCTGTTCTAATTCTAGAGTTCTGACAGCAGAGCTTGCAGCATGAGCTACTGTCCACTTGTCTGTGACTCGATGGGAAGAGTAAAGCGGCCGCTGCCTTCTCCTTGGCTTGTTATACGCCCACTAGGGCCAGTGTACACAAGGCCAGTGTAACCTGCACCTTATTACAGGTGTGCCTTTCAGAGGGAGAGGGAGCCTGCTGTGTGTCTTCTGTGTTCACTGGTGACTGGTTTAAATACAGTTAATGTCGCCCTATGGGAACCACAGCCTCTAATAAGAATGTTCACTCAGCCTAATTTTTGTGCCCATCTAGCAATGTGGCAAATTTTAACTGAAAGTGATTTAGAATTGCAACATCCGCTTTGGGAAACTAAAATTCAACATGGTTTCAAACATCCAGAAGTTCTGGAATAAAAGCAGAAATAGAAATAAAGTTTTACCATAATGCTTTTTAGTCAATCATAAAAATTTCTAGGATGTAGAAGAAAATCAATCAGTTTATAAACTCTTAAAATCTACAACTGCTCTTGTACTGATTGATTTTTTCAAATCAAAAAGTTCTTCAACAATTGTACATGAACTCAAAATTTTCCAAAAGAAAAACTCAATGCCTGATGGCTCCTTACAGAAACTCCCCTCCTGCACTGCAGGTGTGCGTACAGAAGCATAGCTGTGGGTCAGGTGGACGGCCCTAGACACCGGACTGCAAGAGACGAAAGAACCCTGGGCATTCACTGCTTTTAAACAATTTAAAGAATTTTAAGACTTGGTCCATAAATGTAACAGGGAGACATTTTCAACATTAATCAGCATAAATCCTTGGAAATTAGACAACTTTAATAATATATCATCTCCACGATTTTATGACAATATAAAAGAAATGTTAGCATATGTGATGGTTAATCTCATGGGTCGACTTGGCTGGCCACGGGTTGCCCATTTAATCAAACACAATTCTGGGTGTTTCTGTGAGGGTGTTTCGGGTGACTTTAAGCAGAGAGACTGAATGCGCAGACGGCCCTCCCCAAGTGGGTGGCCCTCATCCCACCAGCTGCAGGTCTGAATAGAAGGGAGACGGATCCTCTGCCAAACAGGAGGGCACTCCCCCAGCCCGACTGCCTTCCAGCTGGGACGTGGCAAGGGGCTGCTTTCTGTTTTTTTTGCTTTTGCACTCAAACAGCAGTTCTTCCTGGGTGTTGAGCCTGCTGGCTTGTGGACTGGCACTACACTACTGGCTGTTCTGGGTCCTCATCTTTCTGACTGTGGATCTCGGGGCTTCTCAGCCTCCATAACTGTGTGAGGCAATTCCTTATGATATCTCACTGCCTGTGTGTGTGTGTATGTGTACACACACATATCCTATTGGTTCTTTTACTCTGGATAAATATAATACTGATTTTGGTACTGAGAAGTGGGGTGCAGTGTAACAGATACCTAAAATTGTGGAAGTAGCTTTGGAACTAGCTGATAGTAGAGGCCAGAAGTTATGAGGTACATGCTAGAAAAAGCCGAGATTGACAAGAAGGGACTGTTGCTAGAAATACCGATTTAGTTAAAGGTGATTTTGGTGAGGACTCAGAAGGAAAGGAGGAGAGCTGGTGAGACAGCTTCTGTCTTATTAGATGTACAGAAACATGATTGACTAGCATTCTCTAGAACAGATTCTCTAACGTTGAGCCTTGCATCTGTCAATCAATTCCACCTGGTCAGGGGATATAATTCTTTTTAAACGTGGTTGGATACAATCTGGAATATTTTTATCACATGTGAAGGTTCCTGGCTCCACTAACAACTTAATTACTTTAATAAACGTAGCATTACTCAGATTTTGCTCCATCCCACGTTAGTAGTATTTTTCAAGGAATTTATCCCTTTCATTTAAGATGTTAAACTTGTTAGTACCAACTTGTTCAGACTTTATTATCCTCTTTTTTTTTTTTTTTTTAGATTTCTTTTTTCCCTTTTTTCTCCCCAAAGCCCCCCAGCACATAGTTGTATATTCTTCGTTGTGGGTCCTTCCAGTTGTGGCATGTGGGACGCTGCCTCAGTGTGGTTTGATGAGCAGTGCCCTGTCCGCGCCCAGGATTCGAACCAACGAAACACTGGGCTGCCTGCAGTGGAGCGCGTGAACTTAACCACTCGGCCACGGGGCCAGCCCCAAACTTTATTATCCTTTTAAAGGATGAAGGATATGCACTGATAATGTCCCTTTCATTCCTGAATTGATTACTCATGTCTTCTTTCTTTTCTTCTCGGTTCATCTACCTAGTGATAGATAATTCTGTTGATCTTTTCAGAGAATCTATATTTGGCTTTGCAAATTTTCCTGTTGTTAATCTGTGTTACATTTCATTGATTTCTGCTCTTAATTTCATTATTCTCTTCCTTTTACTCACTTTGCATTTACTTTGCTCTTCTTTTTCTAGCTTCTTAAGGTAAAAGCTTAAGTCACTGATCACAGACCTTTCTTCTTTTCTAATATAAGCACATAAGGCTATAAATTTCCTCCTAAGCATCTCACAGATTTTTATTTTGCTGAGAAGAATTTTAAAAGATCTAGGTAGCAGGTTGTAAGACTTGATATTGGTAAGATATAATTTCTCCCTCAAGTTATCTGTGGATACACTGAAATGTCAATAATAAACATAATTCAGGTTTTTCCTTCTTTTTTTATGAGAAGCTGATCCTAAAATTTAAGTGGAAATAGAGAGGATCTAGACTATTGAAAGGAATCTTGAAAAAGAAAAACAAAGGGAAAGGAATTATATTACCTGACTTCAAGACTTCCTATGGTCCTAAAGGAACACAGACGGTGTGGTTTGGTTTAAGGATAGACATATGAAGGAACAGAACAGAGAGTGTACAACAGACTCACACTTAGCCAGTCACTGGATTTTCAACAAAGTGATCCAATGAGGGAAAAGCAAGACTTTTCAACAAATGGTGCCGGAGCCACTGGGTATCCACATGAAAAAGAAAAATAAACTGTGATCCCTGCCTCACACTACGCACAAAAGCTAATTCAAGACAGATCATAGACTTAAACGTAAAGGCTCAAATTAAACAGCATTTGAAGAAAATATAGATTATCTTCATGACAATAAAAATTTAAAGAGAGAGAAAAGTTGAGACTTCCTCAAAATTAAACATCTGCTCATCAAAAGTTATTGTTAAAAAAAATGAACAGAAAGTTTCAGACAGAGAAAAATATTTCCAAAATGTACACATGACAAAGCACTGGTATCCAGGATTAATAAAGAACTCACAGAATTCAACAATAAAAAGAAAAACAATGAATAAAAACTTGGAAAAAGATTTGGATACTTCACAAAGTAAGGAATATGATATATATGAATGATCAAAAAGTACATAGAACGTGCTCAACATCATTAACCATCAGGGAAATGGAACTTAAAACCCCATGAAATACCACTACACATCCATCACCAGAGACAAAGCGAAAACTGTCGAGGAGGATGTGAGGCAATAGGAATTCCCATATGTTGTTCATGGAAGTGAAAAATGGTACGACCAC